AGAACATAATTTGTTCTGTCTGTTATAAAAGTGGGTTTAGAACATAATTTGTTATGTCTGTTATAAAAGTGGGTTTAGAACATAATTTGTTCTGTCTGTTATAAAAGTGGGTGTAGAACATAATTTGTTATGTCTGTTATAAAAGTGGGTTTAGAACATAATTTGTTCTGTCTGTTATAAAAGTGGGTGTAGAACATAATTTGTTATGTCTGTTATAAAAGTGGGTGTAGAACATAATTTGTTCTGTCTGTTACAGAAAGCTTGTGTACAATGTACAATTTGTCCAATCTGTTATAAAAGTGGGTGTAGAACATAATTTGTTCTGTCTGTAATAGAAGTGGGTGTAGAGCATAATTTGTTCTGTCTGTTACAGAAAGCTTGTGTACAATGAACAATTTGCCCAATCTGTTATAAAAGTGGGTGTAGAATAAAATTTGTATTCAGTCTGTTAGGAAGTTCGTTGTTTTGAATTTCGCGCATAGCTACACGACGTCCCTAATTTAGCAGTGTAAGACTAGAGGGAAGGCAGCTAGTCATCACCACCCACCGTCAACTCTTTTACCAACGAATAGTGGGATTGACGGCTGCAAGGGCGAGCATGTTTGGTGTGACGGGGATTCGAACTCACGACCCGCAGATTGCGAGTCGAGCGCCCTAACCACCTGGCCATGTCTGTCAGGAAAAGCTGGTGTACAATGTACAGTGTGATATAAAACGTGTACCTTATGAAGTTCTTTCAATCTGTTGGAAAAAGTCTTTGGAAATGTTTGTTATATAGGCTAATAAAAACAACAACAACAAAAAATCATATCGTTATAGTGGGAAAAAACCTTCTCAAACGTTTGTTTGTTTTCATTATTTTGTGCAGCTGTTTGGAAGAGTATTGACTTAAAAGTTGCAGGAATTATTTGTGTTCCAAACACATTTGTGTGGCTTGAGGATGATCTAAGTAACCCTCGTTATTTCAGAACGATTTGATTCCAAGTTCTGTATTCAACACTATAGTAGATTGGACAATATTTTTCCGCATTGTTAAACAATCTGCCATTCGACAATAATTTTCTGCATTGTTAAACAATCTGTCATTGGACAATAATTTTCTGCATTGTTACACAATCCGTCATTGGACAATATTTTTCCGCATTGTTAAACAATCTGCTATTCGAGAATAATTTTCTGCATTGTTACACAATCCGTCATTGGACAATAATTTTCTGCATTGTTACACAATCCGTCATTGGACAATAATTTTCTGCATTGTTACACAATCTGTCATTGGACAATAATTTTCTACATTGTTACACAATCCGTCATTGGACAATATTTTTCCGCATTGTTAAAAAATCTGCCATTGGACAATAATTTTCTGCATTGTTACACAATCCGTCATTGGACAATGAGGACGAACTCGAACTATTTTGAGATGGGAGTAAAATACGTTATATGAAAAAGACAGAACCTCACCAGAAAAAAAAAAAAAAGTCATCTTATTTATAGTACCATACAGTAAATCGTGTGGTTAAACATATTTAGAACAGTCTCAATCTTGAAGATGTTTTTATAGCTGGAACCGTATTTAGAGTTCTTGCCAGACAGAATCATAACACACGCAATGG